CCCCTCGAACCCAGATCTTGCAGCGGCGCGTCCTTTGAACGGCGACGAATCTTCACGGCGGCGCCATAGCATGCAGCAGGTGGGGTCTTGAACGACGGCGAGCTCTGCAACAGCGACGAACCCAACGGTGATTTCAATTAGTTTAATAATTTGATATTAAAATTAGAAGTATCTGTCTTAATTAATTCCCTCTTCCCCTTGCTTCATTTCCAAGTTCAATTCAGAAAATAATTGACGGAGAAGGAGAAGTCATTTTATTCATCCACCCAAATCTATGATTGAAATATGGACTGTAGAGATTTTTGAGATTATATTTGCTGAATCACTCTGCAGAAATGAAGGTTTCTTATCCTGTGATTTTAATTGTTCCATAAATCTCTCTCTAGTCCCCACTGTATTTCTGACCAATTTTGATAGTTCTAATCCGATCCTGCAAATATGTGTCATGGCAGATTTTGAAATTCATGCTTTTATGGATACTCATAATACTTCTTGCATCCAATTCCATCGTCTCACTCTATGTTCCTCGTAATCGTTTTCAGGCCTTTGATTTCGTTGGAAACCAAGTGATTAGTTTGATACGACTTGCATATGAGCAAACTTGTAACACTAGGAGGCTTGGTTTTTGGAGGGATTGTATTGCAGTTTTTGGTTAGTAGAGTCTTTCATTTGACAAATATTTTTCTCAATATTTCCACCATTTTGATATTGTAAAGCTTTCACAGGGGCTTTAATTATGTAGGATCTTTTTAGTTTCTGAATTTTGTGCTTTGTACAATAACTAGTGGCCATTATTCTATGTTAAAATTTGTTTCTAATTCGAATCTCGATTGATCTTTATTTCTAGTGTTTTCATACTTGTCCATTTTCAACATTTGTGCAGGCGCACTTGTAGTTGGTCAGACGTTCACTAATGAATATGGGATCTAATTCTTTGAGACGGTGAGTTGCTGTGCTCTTTTTCCCATCTTTCTTCTTCATCTTTCACTTGTATATATTCATTTGTTTCTTATCGGTTACTAAATCTGAGCTAGTATAGTTTGTTTTAGCTGGTTTCTTATTGTTGACTGAGCTTGAGTTGCTTGTTTTAACGAGATAGAAAAGTACTTAAAAACACAAAAAGGTAAATGAAGCCTCAAAATAATAATAAAGCAAAATTACTAAAAAAAAAACGTCCTAATGCAACTCAAGCTATCTAAAATAAAAGAATATGAAATCAATTGGTAAATCAAACTATCACTTAATTCAAACCCTAGCCCACATTGTTGTACTAAAAAGACTTACGTAAAAAAAATATGCTTCTTTTATTTGATTTATGTGCTATGTTTCTTATAAAAATAAACTTACCGGCAAATCCAAAGCATGCACAAGAATTTTGAACAAGTGAAAAATTAATTACAAAAGACAAAAAAACCAAAGAAGAAAATCGTATCTAAAAATGGATTTACCTCACCTGTCTAATAATCGTTAAGACAAATGCCACTATATGACTTATAGTACGAAAACGAGAAAAATTAGAGTAGGGAACAAATGAAGTTGGAATAGTTAATGAGAAAAATTATGGAAGAAGATCCTATTTTATAATGGTAGAGAACTCATATGTTATGAAACTTTTGAAATTCTCGCTTAGAATTCGATAATTAATGCAAAAAAGTTTAACTTATTATAAAAGGAATGGACAAAATTTTTCGTATCCAAGTATTTTAGATTTTATACCTTTTCAAATTTTTATTTACTCAAACCTAAAATTCAAATTACCATTTATATTTTGTTTATTACAAATTTCAAGGTATAGTAAAGCTAATTTCTAATTTGGTTGTATGTGTATTATATCTGTTCATAAATGTACCGTACTAAAACTTAATTTACCCCGTGGAACATAAATTATAAAATAATAAGCTTCATAAAATAATAACATTATTATTATAAATGTTAACATATAATGCTTCTAATTGGTATATATCTCCGATTAAGAGATTGTAAATTTGATCTCTCACCCCTATGTTGTACTAAAAAAATGGAGTATCAGAGGTTCAAACCTTCGAACTAAGGGAATGGGTAGGTGACAATTGCACTCATGTTGACATGATCTCTAAAAGTGTTTTTTTTTTAATATTATATAGATTATATAAAATTCACTCATAAATTAGTTAAAGAATATTATCACAGTTAATTTGAAATTTGAATCAGGCCATAACTAAATTTGAATATAAAATATTAGTTGCATATAATTTTTAGAGAATCTGGCATTTAATTCAGCGATCAATCAAGCGACTAGCTCATCTAAATTAGAGAATTAGGCATTTTAGAGAATCGGGCATTTAATTTTTAGAGAATCCGACATTTTAGAGAATCTTGCAAGGGCATTTTCTTGTTGTCTTCCACACCTATTTGATCTCTCTCCTCCATCGTCTTTCATTATTGTTGTGTTTGTTTGTCCATTTTCGATGTTTGCATGGATGCTCAAGCAACAGCAGCACCAAGTGACTCGGAATAGGACGCGAGGTGGTGGTGGAAATTGAAACGACGGGAGGCTGGAAATGAAGAACAAAGCTCAAGACTCGATTCACAATCTCAGCTAGGTCGTCGGAAATGTAAGTTTTTAGGTTCCCTTTCCTTGGGTGCTCTTTTTTCACGCTATTTCGTGCCAGAGTCTTGATTCCATTCTTTAATAGATTAACTGGCAAAGAAAATGAACTTGCGAGGGCTAATCCAGTGTCACTCAAAAGATTGGTATGACTTTGTCAGTAATTATTTTCACAATGGTTCCCTATATTTTCAAAATGATGAAATCAGGTTTTTCCAAAAAAAAAAAAAAATAAAATTTACCGAGGAGGAGGCTCAACCTCTGCCACAAGCTGCCAAACCAAGTTATTTCACGTTCCTCCTCAAACTGGTTGTTCAAATTGGAACAATTCTCATATCTAAGCATTTGAACACCGATCGATATATGTTCAGTAGTCTGGTTAGTTAGCTTGTGTATGACCCTTTTCTTTGTCACAAAGTACTTCCAACCCAAAAACAACTATGGAGTCTCTAACTCCCTGGTCAATCTCGCAACTACGGCTAGTCTTGATCTTCTCCATTCGTGTGGGTTATATATTTGTCTGATGTTTTTAGGTCTACTTATCTTTTCTAACAATTTTATGTAAGTGTGTATTTGGCTGGTTCAGGTCTAATGATCATTTTTTTACCAGTTTTATTCAAAGTTCATGTACACACTCCTTTGAAGTGTTTCTTGAGGAGGACAAAACTATGTAATATTTTTTAATCCGAGATATTTGTGACTTTAATTTTGCTTTATGTTGAAACATTTATGTTTAAGACATTAGTCTATCAGATTACGTGACAATTTTAGTTGCCAAATAAGCACAGACCGGRCGATCAGTTGCTGCTTAAAATTAATTAATCAATAATCAAAATCCAATTAATTCAAACTTCTTCCCAAAAGTTTCATTCCATTCCATTTCATGAAGCAATTTTATAGTTTGATTCATGATTTTGTTTCCTCGATCTTTTTTTTTCCCTTGATTTCATAAACAAACTTAATTGCAGTTTTTCTTGATCCTTTTATTAGTTTTCTTTCCTTTTTAATTTTGTTGTTGTGAGTTTTGCTTGGCGGTGGGAAGTTTGTGAAAATTGTGTTAGTAATAAAATCATGCTTCATGAAATGGAATGGAATGAAATTTTTGGGAAGAAATTTGAATTAATTGGATTTTGATTGATTGATTAATTTTAAGCCGCAACTAATCTCGGGTCTGCATTTATCTGGCAACTAAAATTTGTATGTAATCTGGTAGACTAATATCTTAAACGTAAATATTTCAACAGAAAGCGAAATTAAAGTCACAAATATCTCGGACTAAAAAATATTGCATAGTTTTGTCCTCCTAAAAAAAACACTTAAAAAATGTGTACATGAACMTGAATMAAACTGGTAAAAAAAAGATCATTAGACAACCAACCAAATACACACTCACATAAAAGTGTTAGAAAAGATGAGTAGACCCAAAAACATCCAGCAAATATATAACCCACGGAATGAGGAAAACCAAGACTAGTCGTAGTTGTGAGACTGACTCRTAGTTGTTTTTGAGTTGGAAGTATTTGGTGGCAAAGAAATGAGTCATACACAAGCTAACTAACCASGCTACAGAACATAGATCAATGTATGAGAAAGTAGATGAGAATGGTTCCGATTTGAACTACAAGTTTGAGGAGGCATGTGAAATAACTTGGTTTGCCAGCTTGCGGCTAAGTCGGTGCCTCTTCCTCGGTGTGTTCCAGAAAAATGAGAAAAACCAGATTTCACCATTTCGAAAGTATAGGAACCATTGTGAAAATAATTAGGCAAAGCTATACCAACATTTTGAGTGGCACCTCCCAAGTTCATTCTCTTTACCACTTAGTTTATTAAAGAAGGGAACCAAGACTCTGGTAGGAAATGGGGTGAAAAAAGAGTCCCAGGAAAATGGAACTCAAAAACTTACCTTTCCAGCGACGCAGCTAAGATTCTGAATCGAGTCTCGAACTTTCTTCTTCATTTCTAACCTCTCGTCGTTTCRATTTCCGYCTCCGCCTCGCGTCCGATTCCAAGTCACTTGGTGCTACTGTTGCTTGTGCATCAATGCGAAGATTTAAAATGGAGAAACAAACACAAGAATAAAGAAAGACGATGGAGGAGAGAGACCAAATAGGTGTAGAAGACAACAAGAAAATTCTAAAATAACTTGAATTGTGTTTAGGAAAGGGCTGACGTCAATCATTTTTTTGTTTTTTAGATGTGAATTATTATTATTATTATTTTTTGTTCTTAAAACTACAACCAATATTTTAGGTTGAAATTTAGTTAGGACCTAATTCAAATTTCAAATTAATCATGAGGACTTAAAATGTTAGGCGRCGCTATGCGGAGGACCCGCGGTAGGCTACTCTGGGAACAAAGGGAAAGCCTTGACCCGACAAACCAGAAACAGTCCGATGACTTGGGAAGTCCTAGTTGTAAGGGCTCTTGAGCCTGGGCCTCCCATTACCTTCGCAGACKAATAAGCCAGTTYAGACATTGATCACRTCCCACACACTGAGTCTTGGTGGATGAGGGAAGTTCGGCCAACATCCTCACTCTAGGGGTGTTGCAAACCCTCGGATGAGATTCAACCAAGCTCAAGAGATGCCCCGCCGCTGGTCGGCTTCTTCAGCGWGAAAGTTTAACCAGAAGGTAGCATCAAACTACCACTAACCCTGGGAGAAGGAAATGGAGCATTAACCATAGAAGAGTTCRTGGTTGTAGACGGTCCTTTAGCGTACGGTTATTTTATGTGTGGAAAAAAAAGAACAAAAAATTAATACATACAATAATAATCTTATTATTTTGTGAAGCTTATTATTTTATAATTTATATTCTATTTGGTAAATTAAGTTTTAGTACTTAACACAATTTTTATTTCAATATAATACACATACAATAATTTTGATCTGAATAAATACAACTGATTTTTTTTTAAGTGAAAATATAATTTTTTTAGTTTGACAAAATAGAAATTAACTTTAGTATACATTGAAATTTGTAATAAACAAAATATAAATGAGAATTTTAATTCAGCTTYGAGTAAATAAAATTTCAAAAAAGTATAGAATCTAAAATACGTGAATACGAAAAATTATGTCCATTCGTTTTATAATAAGTTAAAATTTTTATCAGTTCTCTACCATTATAAAATAGGATCTTTTCTATAATTATTTTCTCATTAACTATTCGAGCTTCATTTGTTCCCTACTTTAATTTCTATCATTTTCATTCTATTAAGTCACATAGTGATATTTGTCTAGCGCGATTAGAATGGGGATGTAAATCTAAGTTCATTATTATAAGAAAAGTAGCCAATAATGTAAAAAAAAAAGCACACTTTACGTAAGCCTTTTTAGTACAAAAGTGTGGGCAATGATTTGAATTCATTGATAGTTTGATTTAGCAATTAACTTTAGTATACATTGAAATTTGTAATAAACAAAATATAAATGAGAATTTTAATCCGTTCAAAAGGGGGCGTTGATTACCCTTCTTGTTGTTCGCACTATTCACACCTTTTGTACCCCCGCTCTTCGACTCCAAATGGCTAATCGTTTGATTGTGAACCATATTTCGTCGCAAGCGACGAAGCAGGACCTTTTGAAAATTTGCTCAGAGTCTTGAATTACGTCCTAATGCGTCGCAGGACGAAAGGATCGACGATCCCCCTCCGGGATGGGTAAGTTTTTACCCTCGGATGTTCTGGAATGGAGTCAGACTTCCACTCCCTCTTTTTGCTCAGTCCATCCTGACTTTTGGTAGAGTGGTGCCGGCGCAACCAAACCCCAATGTGTGGGGAATCCTTATGGCGCTAGCCATCCTTTGGTTAGAACTAGGCGGAGTTCACCACTTGTCTCCTTATCCTTGAACATTCGTGCAAGCTTGCGAGATTATCGGCTTCCCTATTGAAGTGTGAGCTTGTCGTTGTCCTCTTCTTTGTATCAGACAGATCTTATCCTTTAAATATTAAAAAAAAAACCATTTAAATAAGATTATGCACAAAAATTTAAAAATAGTCACCTTCTAAATACTTAAAAACAACTTTATTGTGCCATTTTATTTTTTTACAATTTATTTYGTTTTAGTATCGGATTGTGGGCTGTTTTTTGGGCACAATAAATTTTAATAAACGGTAGTTTTTAAAGGTTAACATTTTGGAGTAAGTAATTATATGTGGTTTGTATACCCCGACTTTTCACTTTGTATTGTGCAGTCCTATGCCACTCATTATAATTACTATGTCATATGATTTGACCTATTTTAGTTATAATTACAATATAATTTAATCTCTACATCCATCTCTTCCATTTATTCTCTCCCATTTTCTACAACAATATAATCCATTCACTTTTATATTTTTACCTCTTAATTATATTACAAATTTAGTCTAAGCGGTATACCTTAGATTTTACATTTCAGTCGACATTTTCATGTCTATGGATTTGGCATAGACATAATGGTTAATTATCATTTTTATTGTTTCGTGAGAAAATGGAAATGATGTAAGAAAATATAATTAACATGGATGCAATATTAATAATAATAATTTTTGACTTATTTAAATGGGAAAGAAGTATTAATTAGTTAATTTAAATACATTTTATGAATTATTTAATTTTTATTATTTTTATAGGAATATCCATTGMCTATCGATATTATTTAACACATCCATATCGACATTTAAAATCTGGTGCAGACATTTTACTATCATTTTGGTCTCAAACGAGTTGTTTTAATTTAGTTATCATGATTTAGACTTACCATAATCAAGGAATCATTTGATGGTGTTTACTAAAATCGAACGTAAATATAAAGTGAGGCCACCCAAATTTGGGAATCACGACCCAATAGAAATCTCGTGTTACCGAATATATAAGGAAGGCTTTTCCATTTTAATCTTTGACTTTGGATTTCATTAATTTAAACACTATCATTTAATAAGTACTACAATTAATAACTTTAATTTTTTGTTTAAAGATTAGCGACTGGCATGGGTGTTTTTATAGTTGGAAGAGATAAATCTTTCGTCTGTACTTAGTCCTTCTCATGCATGTTGCAAAAATCAAGGTCCCTTTTGCTGCTTAAGCATGCTTTTGGTATATATATATGTATGTGAATGTATATGTGTATGTGTATAAATATAATTTTTTTTTGTTTTTCTTTCTTTTTTGATATCCGTGAGTGTCCGAACCAGTTTACGCACGCATCTCGACTAATCTCACGGGCCAACTGCCTAACCCTACAATATCTGGTGGCGGAAAATACATAGGAATTACTAATTCCTATGTCCGAACCCCTTTTAATTTAATTGAAGTTTATTTTATACGTACATGTAATACATAAATATACTTTCTCGCTTATTAGTCAATAGTACATTAATGTATTTAAATTATAAAATTACAAATAAACTAAAGAAATTTGATAAAAAAAATATATGAAAAAATAATGACGGGATAAAAATGTCAATATAAAATGTCCACGACGTGAGAATCATGGAAACCTATGTTTCAAAAGGGCATCTAAATCGACTCAGATGCCTTTCGTATGGACATCCTGGGATACCCGAACATCTCGAGATATCCGACTATCTTACATTACTGGACAACTAACATGGGAATCCAGATGCTCGTCTCACGGGAATCCTGRATTCGCATGAAACAAATAGCTTCTTCATAGCCCATAACTACACTTTCCTTTCTCCTATCAAATCCCAATATTATTACAGTTTTCTCTCCTCCTTTTCTTCCTGTAATCCTCTTCCCCTTCTCTGTTCCATTGTAAAACCCTATTTACTGTTTTTATTTTCTTCTACCATCACAGTTTTAAGCACCTATTTTATTATATAAACCATTTTTTAAGTTAACCGACATATTATATAGAAAAACTCATTCCTATTACAGTTAAATTTGAAATTTACGGACTAGACTTCTGATTAACCTAATTTTCTTTACCTTTAGTTTATTGTTTACCTTTCATCTTTTTATTTTTATTTCTCATAAAAGTAGGTAAATTATTTAAAATCCATTATAGAAATTTACAACTCATACCTATTACAGTCAAATTTGGAAGTTTATGGACTAGATTTCTTATTAACCTAATTTTCTTTACTTTTTATTCTTTACCTTTGATCATTTTATTTTTATTTCTCATAAAAAGTAGGTAAATTATTTTGTAACTGTTTTAAAGATTTTCAACGTTTATTTTTGAGACACTGAAAATCTTGACAACTACTTCTGTATTAGTACCATGGTTTGTTAATTTGGAATTTGAATCAAGTACCATAATTAAATTTGAATCTAGAATAATATTGTTTGCTTTCAATTTTCAAATAATCGAGCATTTAATTCTCTCGTTCATAAAAAATTAATTACATGAAATTTGTTGACATAAAAATTTTCTCCCTACTATCCCTTCGACACCATAGACCTCCTTTAAAATAAGATTATAGATATCTCAAATATATTTTATTTTTAATAAATTCAAACAAGCTTGTTTGATAATAGTTAATATGGATTCTTAGTCGCTCTCCCTACCGATGGCGTTTCTCTCAGCCCTGGGCTGCACCGTCAGAATTAATTTATGGGTTGGTGGTTTTTTTAAGGTGGTTAGTGTTTTGTTATTCAAGATTGGAAGAAACTTCAACTGACGGGGTGTCCATTAAGTATGAACGGAATCCAAGTTAATTCAGAAGGTCCTGTGAGGGGATGTTGGGTGCCCGTTAAGTATGAACGGTTACCGGATTTCTGTTATCATTACGAGAGGATAAGACATATGTTTAAAACTGTTCGAGTATGTACACAAATGCTGGGGTTATCCAGAAATTTGAAAACCAGTATGGGCCATGCTTAAGGTTTTAGGGTAAGGATAGACAAGGTTCAAGCACAAAATCAGATAAGTCTTCGAACTCGGAAGAAAAAGCTAAATCGGGAAAAAGGATTGGGGCAACACGAGTAGTTCGCTCTAGGACTCCACCTCCTCGAGAACAGGATGCCCAGTCGAGATGGAGCTGGAAGCCAACCTATACTTTCCTGGGGCTTGCCRGAAAGATGGCAGGGGTGCATTAGCGCTTTACTAATAGTTTTCGAAAGTCGACGGCTCCTTCCCGGCCTGGAAGTTAGCTTTTGGCGACTAGCTTCTACTGGCCCTTTCTCTTTTCTCTAATAAGAAGGTTCACTTTGAAGCTCCTATACAAGGGGCCTTGGCCTAGCTTACTAAGCGAACAAAAAAAGATGCCTGTCTACCCCTATGAGGAAAGCCATAAGCAGATTAACCTATAAATATATGGTTATCGTCCCCAATACACTATGCTTCTCGAACCTTCTGT